CAATGTATCTCTCATCGCACTGACTTCTTTCATTCTTCCTTTTTCATTCAAGCTGTTATTCTGTGGAATGCGTTGCCCAAGGAGATCAGAATGGCAACAAGTCGCAATACCTTTAAATTTAAAGTCCGTGAGCAACTACTTAAGCATTGGCAGACTCAAAACAATTAAGGAAACTATTCTAACAACGTTTTCTTTTTTATATAATATATTGTAGTATTTATGCAGTATAAGTATTTGTTTAGTAGTATATATTATATGGTATGTATATGTCTATTTATAAAATATTGTATTAATATATTTATTCTATAGGTATTTATGTGTTTGGTATACATATTACATAACTTTTTTTTTTTTTGATTGTGTTCTGGCTTCGCAACCACTTCATTTCTCTGCACTTCCCTATGGTTGACTGTAAGAGAATGCCTTAAGGCATTAAGTCCGCCATTCACTGTATTTTGTGAAGAAGAAATAAATAAATAAATAAATAAAACTAGACAAGTGCCGGGCGCCAGGTTACAGAGGGGCGCCGCGAGACGCGCGTGCACAACTGCCTATTAAGTGACGGCGACTACCAAATAAAATAGTGGCACCTATGAGGTACTTGCCTAGGGCGCAGACATGATATGGCACGACACGACCGCCACGTTAGACGCGACCGACATGACAGACGCGACCGACACGACAAACGCGACCGACACGACAGATACGATCGACACGACAGATACGACCTACACGACAAATACGACAGATACTACCGATACGACAGATACGACTGATACGACATATACGATGAACTCAGCAGACACGACCGACACGATAGACATTATCAATCTACGTAAACTGTACGTAGTGATGAAATAATTTATATTTACAATAAACGCGTTTAAACGAAGTCGCGCGGGAGCTACGCCCTGCGATCACCAACCCGCCTGCCCAGCGTGGTGATTATGGCCATTGCGTTATATGGCACGACACTCCAAAAACCGGCCCCTAGGTCCAGTCCACTGGGAGGTGCCGTAACAGGCGTTGCACTATGAGGGCACCGGAGTTGGTCTACTAAGAGGACCCGGTGCCCCCTTCAAGTGCGGATGGTGGCCACCGGGGAGGTTTTAGTGAGGTAGAAATACCACACTCCCTAGTCTTTTTTGTTAAAATGTAATAGAACTATGTAACAAAATATATATTAGCGCCATCTATGAGAATGTTTGTGTCAACATGAAGTGTTTTTGTTTTACCTGTAATTGCCTATATAAAAAGTGAAATAAAAAGTGGGTTTCAGTCTGTTGCGAGAATTCATACGAGTTTCATTTTATAATATTTTTCCCCAAAAAGCTAGGCGCCTTTGGAAGGTTTCCCGCCGTCAACAAAAAAAAAAAAAGTTCCGTTCCACTATTCCTGGCCAAGTCGGCAGCCATGGTAACTGCGGGACAAGGGGTGCTAAGAATCCCCGGGCTACGAAAGGCCGACAACACCAATTGACCCTACCTACGTACAACGAATGCACGTTACGGCTCGAAGACATCTGGCACAGCTCGAGGTGGAACTGGGGAACATGAGGTGGCATATTCTGGGGCTGTCTGAAGTCCGGGGGAAGACAGACAGGGGGAGGACACAGTGACCTTGAAGTCCGACACGCGACCGACACGACAAATGCGACTGACACGACAAATCCGACCAACACGACAAATACGACAGATACGACTGACACGACAGATGCGACAAATACGACAGATACGACCGACACGACAGGTACGACAAATCCGACCGACACGACAAATACGACTGATACGACAAATACGACAGATCCGACCGACACGACAGATGCGACAAATACGACAGATACGACCGACACGACAGATACGACAAATCCGACCGACACGACATATATGACAAATACGACCGACACGACAGATCCGACAGATACGATCAACACGACAAATACGACAGATCCGACCAACACGACAGATGCGACAGATACGACCGACACGACAAATACGACCGACACGACAATACGACCGACACGACAGATACGACAAATCCGACCGACACGACAAATACGACAGATCCGACTGACACGACAAATACTATATAGTGAGAGGACATTTATTAACACAATCGAATTTAATGTATATGTTAGGACATATTCTAAATTGTTTAAAAAGGTCTGCGCTATTGCAAAGTCGCGGTACTTGAGCTCCAAAATAAAGAACAGTACCAATGTCATCAGAGCGACCTGGAGTATTATTAACAGTGAGACGGGAAGGTCCAAAAAGAGAAGTAATGAATATAGTCTTCTAATTGATAATAATGTAATAAAATCAGACGCAGAAGTTGCAGCTGCATTTGAAAGTTT